CACCGTGTGTGATGCTGTGTGTTTCGTTGTGAAAGCGAAACTACTTTGTTTGGTCTTCCAAAAGAGGACACGACTAGAAATCAGTGGTTAAGTTGTATTATTTTATGGAGGACGTTTCCTGATCCTGTTAGAGTAGACTACAATGCCGGCTGTTTTGACTCACAGATTGTAAGTACGTTTTTTATATTTAAAGAATTTGCCACTGATGATTCAAACGCGAGTTTTGAGCAGTGTAGAGAAGAGCTTGTTGTTTGTCATTTCTCCGATCACAAATGCAGACATGGTTTTATGTTTACGCGGCGCAGCGCGATGCAACGCAACAGTATAAGTCATTATAATGTCCCCACTGGATGCAACAATTGCCTAGTCTTTAATGGGTTTGAATGTTTTTGTCTCGTCGCTCCGGCCGGACAGGGCATCACAGGTGAGGGGTGTAACATTTCCGTCACACGCTTGAGGTTTTCAGCCAATCAAAACGCACTGGATAGCTGGCCAATCAGAGCAAACCTCATTTTTTAGACCAATGAGCTTTGTAAAAATCGACACGGTTCAGAAAGTTGGGGCATAGAGGAGAAACAATAATGTACAGTATGCGGAAAATAATGTTTTTTTTAAACCTTAAACCGCATAAACACATTTCATTACACCAAATACACAAAATAATGTTCTTTTTAGCAACATCATATGACCCCTTTAACAATAACAGTGCAAATCTAAAATGAAATAGATTTATGAAACAAAGATACATTTCTGAAATCTCTGGCATATGAAGAATACATTAAGTAACATATTAGTGGTAAATGGCTGAAACAGTAAAATAAAGAATACAAAAAAGTATCAATTAAATTAGATTATTATTTTGTGGGAAAAAGGTGAAAAATAGAAAAAGAGGGAAATGTAAAAAATGAATAATATATAAATTTAATTATGTATGCGTGGTGGGCAAAAACAAAAAATCTGCAAATTATTGTGTGATTGGAATGTTAACAGAAGATACTGCAGTTTTAACAGAAGGTAATTTAAATTGAAGTGGATTACATAAATTATAAAATAGTCGATTTCATCTCTTAATGTCGCAAAAGTAAAAAAGAAAAAAGAAGAAGAAATAAGTAACAGTTGTTGAATATGGAAGCATATAGGTAGCGAAATTCAATTTAAAATGCAATATTCAAAATGGCATTGTATTTCTGTATTTAAATTTACATTTTCCATTACCCATACGTGCAAAGTTTGGTGCAAAAGTAAAATGAAAATTTAATTTTATAATTTACATTTGCCATTTCCAACAGTAGTCTTAATATGTAAATTGCATGCACATTTGAACGCTTTATAAGTTGCGAAATGAAAATGAAAATGTATAATACAAATTGATTTGATATGTGTAACATGTTCAAGCAGAAATGGTAGCAAAATGATCCTTTAAATGCTATTTGTCCTAAATGCATTTAGACTAACAGTTAGAACACTTAGGATTGCACTTTCATCATGACGCCGAGGGATTTCAAGGGAAATTCAATTTGAAAATGCATTCCGAGCTGACCACGCCCCCCCTCCGTCACTCATTGCTTCAAGGCAGGGATTGGTGGAAGCGTGGTACGTCTGGATCGTTTGAAACATGGCAGCTCGATCTGATAAGATCGCTGAATTCACTGGCAGATGAAGGGGAGCGTGAACATTTCGCAACTTATAAAGCGTTCAAATGTGCATGCAATTTACATATTAAGACTACTGTTGGAAATGGCAAATGCAAATTATAAAATAAAATTTTCATTTTACTTTTGCACCAAACTTTGCACGTATGGGTAATGGAAAATGTAAATTTAAATACAGAAATACAATGCCATTTTGAATATTGCGCTGCCATTTTGAATATTGCATTGCCATTTTGCATATTGCATTTTAAATTGAATTTCGCTACCTATATGCTTCCATAGTTGAATGGCATTGGATATGGACGCATTCTGTGGAGCAGACCACTGAGCCCCACCTCCACATGGATCAACAGCTAACAAATTGATTGATCACGATACATTCGTCCAACCACAGTCTATGGTCCAACCGCATCGCGGCTCTCATGTCTTTTCTTTCTAACGGCTGTTCTGATTGGGTGGATCAAGTGTCAATCAAAGAGTTAGCCACGTCCCCTTTCTGGACATCAAGCTCAGAGAAAAAACTGCAACAGGGGCTAACTTAAACATAGGGGGAAAAGTGATACAAATAGTTTTTACATGATCGGTTATTTATTTGCCTTTTTTATTGTAAGTTTTAAAGAACACTTTTTTTTCTTGCGTTTCGACAACTTTCTTCTCTGTTTGGTGTGGCCGTGTGGGGATGGATGAGATGCGGCCTAGCAGCGGAGCAGCAGCGCGCCTCGGCCTCGCCTCGCTCTTTCCCCCAGGATTGCAGGCCATTTATGGGGAATGCAGGCGCCTGTATCCCGATCAGGCCAACCCGCTGCAAGTCACAGCCATTGTGAAGTACTGGTGAGACGTCTGAAGCATTCGTATTTTATGTTGTTGCTTGAAATGCAGACATAAAAACAAGTTCAGTAAAACTGGATTTTATTCAAAGGATATTTTCCACTATTTCATAACTAGTTTTTACTATTATAACAATTGAGTGGTAATCAAAGATGACAATCAAATTTATGTCAGCAGAAGCATTATTAATAGGCTAATAACAAACTTTCAAGTGTACTTTTACATCTCAATGACTCAATTTTTCCTCCCATAATCCTCTTTTCAGGTTAGGGGGTCCAGATCCTCTGGACTACATTAGTATGTACAGAAACTTTGGATGTCCTGGACAAGATATACCAGAACATTGGCACTATGTCAGCTTGGGTCTTAGTGACTTGTATGGGGACAACAGAGTTCATGAGTAAGAATGACAAATTATGAGATGAACAGTTTCATTACATGGCAGTGTTGTTACAGCAATACCCAACTAGTTTAGTTCAACTTAAATTCATATTTACATGATGTACCGTTAGTTTCAGCAGTTGAATGAATACAACTTTTAGTTTTATGTGAAGAGTTGTGTTGATGTAGGTTGGTATTGATTGCATTTAAGCTGTATTCTGCTTCTTTATAGATTCACAGGTCAAGAGGGCCCAAGTGGTTTTGGTTTTGAGCTCACATTTCGCTTGAAGAGAGAAGCAGGAGAGACGGCACCCCCTACCTGGCCAGCTGAGCTCATGCAAGGCTTGGCTCGATACGTGTTTCAATCAGGTACTGTGCCTGCACCCACTCTTAAAGGGGTCATGAACTGAGAAATCAAATTTTCCTTGATCTTTTGACATCTAACAGGTCAATGTATTATAAAAGCTTTTATTGAAACCAAGCTCAGAAAACTACTCGTTTTGGAATGTGCCACTTTATGACGTAATAGTGTCGCTAAGCACCGCCTCCGCAGAAGATCATCAACGTCTGCTTCTACATCACTGCCTCTTTAGCCCCGCCCACTGATACACGCTTTGTAGTAGGAGAGGAAATGCTAGAGAGACGTGAACACAGGATTACTCCATCAACAGAACCATACAGATGACATTACCAGATTACAACTGACACTGTGTAGTGTAAGTTGTGAAAAATAGTCTTTGAATTGCCTTCCTTGTGATCCTAACATATCTAGATCAGACGGGAGCGCAGTTGCGTCATGTTGCGAATCCTTTTCTCTTTCAGGTCAGAAGTGGCATGAATGCTTGTATGTCAGAAATAGAGCAGGACATCAGTTTACCATCTGAGATTTGTTGTGTCAGTCCGTGCCACATCCAGTGTAGAATTGCAGATTATAATGGGTTCTGCTGTCTAAAGTCTCACATCTGGTGTAAACATGGGGTAAAATTGGCAAAGAGCTCCAGATCGTGTCAGTGAAACACTGTTTGCTTTTCTTTGCTACGGATTCATTTTTAAACAAGACAGTATGATACAGGCTTAGAAAGTAAATGATGATGCAGCGCTGAGTCTAACTAGAGTGGATCCAACAGTAATGTCGCAACACAGAAGTGTGAGTATTGAGTAAACGTGCTTTTACCCCATTGCATTGTCTGTTCTAGACCATTTGATATATACTGAGTGTTTATATAAGTTTTTACCTAAATGACCCATGCTGTTTTCAGAGTGCTTCACAGCAACGTCCATCTGTTATTTTAATAAGCGAAACTGTTAGCCAATCATAGCAGTGGCCGTTTACTTGCGAGTCTTGAATGCTCCCCGCCTATAAAACAGACTGTTCTGCAGAGAGGCTCAAAAACAGTATAGAAAGTAGCTTATTACTACTAAATTATGATGGTTGTTTTTTTTTAAATGTAAAATCACACTAACATTATAAGTGAACCTCAGAGAACATTAAAATAAAATAAAATAATTAAAAAAATGCAGTTCATGACCCCTTTAAAGAGTTCACCCAAAAATGAAAATTAGCCCATAAATTACTCAAGTCATCCTAGGTGTATATGACTTTCTTCTTTTAGACCAGTGTTATCTCCCTTATCTCAACCCTGGTCCTGGGCGCCCCCCAACACTGCACATTTTGTATGTCTCCCTTATCTGACACACCTATTTCAGGTCCTGGAGTTTCTTTTAATGAGCTAACAAGTTGAATCAGGTGTGTTTAATTAGGGAGACACACAAAATGTGCAGTGCTGGGGGGCGCCCAGGACCAGGGTTAAGAAACACTGTTTTAGACGAATCCAGTCGGCGTTATATTAAAAATTGTCTTTGATCTTTAAGCTGTTTAATGGCACTCGGCGGGTGTTGCATGCATCAGTCCAAAAGCACTTAATTAAAATGCGCCGATCCATAAAAAAAAAGTGTCTCACACGGCTCCGGAGGGTGAACAAGTGCCTCCTATAGCGAATTGATGCGTTTTTGTAAGAAAAATATCCATATTCAAAACGTAATAATTACTTTAATCTAGCTTGCGCCAACTGTTGTACACTGGAAGCAGTTCCGGGCAGATGACGCATGAGGTCAGCGCTGTCCATGCGCCGGTGAGTCTCGTGAAAACCAACGTTTGTTAACAGGAGCAGAGGTTCCTTACTTTAGCACAGGAAAACCAGTCTCCTCTTGGCTTATATCGAAATCCTCCGACATTCTTCTTTACAAATCCTCATTACAAGTTACAAGTCCTTTTGTACTTCTAATAAGTGACCATTGTTTTGTTTTTATCTCTCCGCTGCGCTTCCGCGTTCGTCACTTCTGAGCGGCGCATGCACAAAGCTGAACTCATACGTCATCCGCCCGGAACTGCGTCCGTGTACAACAGTGAGCGCAAGCTACATTAAAGTGATTATTACGTTTTGAATATGGATATTTTTTTTAATTAGGGAGACACACAAAATGTGCAGTGCTGGGGGGCGCCCAGGACCAGGGTTAAGAAACACTGTTTTAGACGAATCCAGTCGGCGTTATATTAAAAATTGTCTTTGATCTTTAAGCTGTTTAATGGCACTCGGCGGGTGTTGCATGCATCAGTCCAAAAGCACTTAATTAAAATGCGCCGATCCATAAAAAAAAAGTGTCTCATACGGCTCCGGGGGGTGAACAAAGGCCTTCTGTAGCGAATCGATGCGTTTTAGTAAGAAAAATATCCATATTCAAAATATCCATATTCTTGTGCTCACTGTTGTACACTGGAAGCAGTTCCGGGAGCATGACGTATGGAGGTCAGCGCTGCACATCCTAATATCGGCCGATATATCGGCTACGGCGATGTATCAGTCGACCACTATTCATGGTCATTTCTCAGCCTGATAGTGTGACCCTTTTAATGCTTTTAATCTAGAATCCAATTCCGTGATATGAGGTGCAGCATGTGGAATCGCACATCTGAATATGTATGGACTGTATTTAGCGGAATGTGGCATTCTGCTGTATTTTAGTAGCTTTATTGATTGGAAGTGCAAACAATCCACATACAAACTTGTCGTTTTTAGTGTAAAAATAGCAGATTTGTCCCATAGGAGGTATCTATGTCTATATTCTATTGCATGTACTGTATGCAATATATCAGAGTTGTCAGACTAAAATTAAACTTAATTTCAATTTTAAATATTACTTTCTTGAAAGTATGCAGATCTCTCAGACAAATCGTTTGCTCTGCGACAGAAAACACATTCTGTAGCGGAGATCACATTTCGTGGCACAGTCCGTTTATTCATTACTGACCATAACATGATCATTATTTGCTTATCTATATCAGCCAGAATTTTAATATCCGTGCAGTTGCTAATTTTTCTGTGAATTATTCCTTAAAATTAAGAACTATTTAACAGTGTGGCCTGTTTAGATACTTACTTTTTTTTTAATTTATCCAAGCTAAACTTGTCATGTCCTTTGAATATTTTGCACCTCTGCCTCTTTTTTTGAACACATTTTACCTCTCTCAAGTAATGAATGATAATTATTCCTGGCGATTAAGGCCATCTGTTATAACGCATACTGTGATGCTTCAGGAGTGATGAGAAAAGATGGAGTATAATTAAGTCTGTGGCTGTTAAACTCAACACCTCCACCTGCTGTTAGTCCTCTGACCCCTCGCTCTCTGCACTGAGACGGACACATGTCCAGCCATGCTGATCTCCTGCTGATTAGTGCGTGTGTTGATTGCTCATTCCAAGCAGGAACGAGTGGATAAGGGCATAGAGACGGACGGCTCTAACCTGAGCGGGGTCAGTGCCAAGTGCGCCTGGGATGACTTGAGCCGACCTCCCGAGGATGAGGACGACAGCAGGAGCATTTGCATTGGGTCACAGCCACGCAGGCTGTCAGACAAAGGTGATTGGTGCTAAGGACAAGTGCAGCCCAATTTAAAATTAAGACACCAAACTCCGTATGCTTCAGAGATTTTGTATTGGCTCAAATTACTATGTCATTGTCATGAGTATTTGTATTGTTCATACAGACACTGAACAGATTAGAGAAGCCTTGAGGAAAGGACTGGAGATTAACAGCAAGTCTGTCCTGCCTCCCATCAGCAGTCAGAGGCACAGTCACGACTGGCCACAGTAAGTCCTGCCCTTTCATGACAATCAAAGCTTCAGGACTGTGTGATTATACTGGTCAAGCGGAAGTATGGTTTACCAGTGCTGTGACCTTAATTCTGGAAGTAGCAGGTTGAGGAGTTTGTTTCAAGACAACAAACTGCTTTGGTTTGCTATGCCACCTGTTCGGGACAGGATTAGTAGGGCCGATATCTGCCATTTTTCAAATATCGGCATTGGCCGATAAGTTTTTCTGTTTGGCCGATGAGTTCGAGGCGGGACTTGCAGCGCCTGAGCACACAGTGCTCACATTCTCCCTCTTGTTCGCTGTTGTCATTCAGTTCTGTCTAATATGGATATAAGTCTATCTAATAATCAGATAGAACTGTTAAACAAAGGAATTAAAGTGTATACAAAAAAGTATTATAACGATTGCTTTAATAGTATTAAAGGCAAATATTATAATACTTTCTCGTTTGCCATCAGCATTCCGCAAATACGCATTTGTATAATTTAAACTAGGGATGCACCGATATGAAAATTTTGGCCGATACCGATAACCGATAATCCTTTATTTTTGAAAGCCGATAACCGATATGTTGGCCGATAAATCTATATCCAAATTTTTATATACTTTTTGAGAGCCTGATTACAAAAAAGGTCTCATCATTAAAAACCACATCCCGAACTTGTGACGGTAGGTCCTATGGTCCGTGCGAATAGAATACGGACAGGAAGAGAGTTCAGCTTCACTGGAGATGCGCGATCGACAAACTTTCAAACTCGTGACTGATTCAAATTATGCTGCGCTTTATACATTTACCCACTGTCATATTCATGTCATTTTCACTGTGTGCTGTATGTAAAATGAGTGTTACCTTGGCTTTATTTGAAAAAATATGATTCCCAATGCACACAAACTTCCCAGAATACTGAGTGCCCTGTTGGTTACAGTGTTTACTTCCTTTTTAATTATTTTATTATATATTTATTTATTTGTGAAAAATACTTAGTCTTCTAGAGTATAAGTATGTTTATTTTACACGTTGATTTTTTAATCCATTTTCAAATTATTTCAAATTTCTTAAATATGAATTAAAATTATATCGGCCACCGGCCACACTGCTTTCCAAGATATCGGCATCGGTATCGGCTGTCAAAAAACTAGGGATGCACGATATATCGGCCACCATATCGGTATCGGCCGATAAATGCTAATTTTTTCTGTTATCGGTATCGGCCCAAAAAACCCATATCGGTCGACCACTAGACAGGATGGCATCATTATGGTTTATGGCTAGGAGACAAAAGATGTTTGGTGCCAGGTAGAGATTTTGCTATATTGTTAATTGCACTCAGGGCTGCACAATTAATCACATAAATGATTAATTATGGGTGCTGTGAAGCATGAAAAGTGATGATCAGTCCATGTAGGTCTACTGCCATTGCCCTATTTGCAGTGGTTGAGCAATGTAACATCACAGATATTTCTGTTGTGCGCATGATTGCGGAGATGGGTAAATTGGTAGGGCTGGATTGACAGTATTGATTTCTTTATTTTAATCTCTTCATTTTTAACCAATATCGATATTTGAATTTCAAGATCGATCTGTCAGTCTTTACTGTTTTCAGTAGATGTTTTGCACAAAATTGCACTAATCAATATTTGTAATGTTCATCTCCAATCCATTAACCGATCATATCTTCAGCTTTAGTACTACTAATGTCATGGAATATACATTAATATCAGAAGGTATGTTGAAAGGATCCTACTGAAATGTATCATGTTTCATGTTTCAACTGTGGAAAGACGCCAGTAAAACAGCTTGTAAACAATGTAATGTTACATTTCCCTGAGGAAAGCAGTTCAATCACAGCTTGATAGTTAGCTAATAAAATAAAATAACTATGGAGTATTACAAATTCATTATATTTGTAATGAACCTGTTGGTTCTATTTTGTTCAATGTAGGATTGAATAAGTCTGTCATGAAAATGTGTTTTATTATAGCCACTGTTTAAATGTTAATATTTCAACAATGAATTGGAGTAGAAACATAATTAAAATTATTAGAAGTTTTATATAAAAACTGCTTCTGTGTAATTTAAATGATTGTATACATTGCAATTGAGTGTTGTTTACTATATCTAAAAATAAATAGCAATTGAATTTAATATTTTGGACTTTTAATTTTAACCTTTAGTATTCTGGTAACATACCAACTGACCTGGTTCCTTATATAGTTTACAGCTTTAGTTGAGGGACTTTTTCCTTATGAAAAATTGTCTATATGCCTGTTAAAGGGGTCATGAACTGGCTTTTTAAAATTATTTTATACTGTTGTCTGAGATCCACTTATGACGTTCGTGTGGTTTTTACATTCAGAAACATCAAAATCAATAAGTAATCGTCTATGTTCTACCCTGGTTTTGAGGCCGGCTTGATAAATGCTCGGTTTTTATGGGTTAGGGTTAACTTTTTGGTTAGACACGTACACATAATCGGAACATATCAAGCGATCTCTAACAAAGCAATAGTGACACACAGTGCAAATATTTTTTACTCTCATAAGTGTACTGCGGCATTCCTGTCGGATCCAATATTGACTGCACAGCATTGCTTTTTAATCTCAGTCTCTCTGCAAATCAAGCGTCGACCTGTGTCTTGTTTACAAAGGAATCCGCGGTGAAATGAAGCGAACAAACGCTCAATGTTTTACTCACATGAGCAGAAACTTCATTAAAAATAAATTTCAACTGTGCATTCTTAATATTTGAATCCGAAGGAAGCTTATGCAGCAACTGTGTTCTTCCACAACCAGGCACTGCACAATATTTTGCGATCTTCAACACCATGTTTATTGCTCTGTCGCTCGATCTGGTTTAGTGCCACAATTTAGCGTTATTTCCCTACTATGTCATGTGTGAATCAGTGGGCGGGGCTACAGAATTAGGGTGTTGATATTCTTCTGTGGAGGCGGTGTTTAACCTATCTATTACGTCATAGGCAGGGGTGTGAAGTAACGAATTACAAATACTCACATTACAGTAATTAAGTAGTTTTTATCAGTAATTGTATGTTTGAGTAGTTTAAAAATTGTGTACTTTTACTTGAGTACATTTTAAGTGATGTATCGGTACTTTTACTCCGCTATTTTCCTCCGTTTGTGGTCGTTACATGCTTATTTTAATTTAATTTTTATCCATCAACTTGATTGGATAGAGAGTAATAGGTCTCATGACTTTCGTCAAATCAAATTGTGCATAGAAAACTTTAAGCGCCAACTGTTTATCATGGCTGCTGGAAGTGCATTCTTCAAGCATCTATTCAGTCGCATCTTCCTCTAACTTAATATGTTAAGGTAAATTTCGGATTTCTGCATACTAAATGATTTGTATATATGCTTGGCACCGTTTTGGAGAGAAATGGGCTCTCATTTCAACCCATATCATGGTGTGTGTGATGCTGAACTATGAGTTTCTAATGGTGTTTGTATTTGCACTGTTCTAAACATTAATATTTTATGTGCAACAACAGCATGCTGTCTCAGTGGCCTTACACATGATTTTAAATCTATTTTTTCAAACTGTATGATTTAAGTGGGGATGATTGTACTGAGAATAACTCCTCTTTTCTTCAACTGAATACTGTTTCCGTGCTGTTTTGATGTACAAACCCGATTCCAAAAAAGTTGGGACACTGTACAAATTGTGAATAAAAACAGGATGCAATGATGTGGAAGTTTCAAATTTCAATATTTTATTCAGAATACAACATAGATGACATATCAAAGGTTTAAACTGAGAAAATGTATAATTTTAAGGGAAAAATAAGTTGATTTTAAATTTCATGGCATAAACACATCTCAAAAAAGTTGGGACAAGGCCATGTTTACCACTGTGTGGCATCCCCTCTTCTTTTTATAACAGTCTGCAAACGTCTGGGGACTGAGGAGACAAGTTGCTTTACTCAAGTAGTTTTTTGGACAAGTACTTTTACTCTACTCACACTACATTTTTTGGAAGGTAATGGTACTTTTACTTGAGTATATTTTTTTTTCAGTACTCTTTCCACCACTGGTCATAGGTAGGCACATTCCAGCATCTGGCGATCGCTGGGCATGGTGTGAAAAAAAAGCTTTTATTTCAGTAACAAGGACGTTTTCAGTTCTGAAACTTACAGGATATTCTTTTAGGATGATGATCTCTTATATATCAAAAGCTCAAGTAAAAGTTGATTTCTCAATTCATGACCCCTTTAATATTATTATTATTATTATTGCTGAAAACTCATTAGGACTGCTTGTAGTTATTAAAGGGTTAGTTCACCCCAAAATAAAAATTAGCCCATAAATTACTCACCCTCAAGTCATCCTAGGTGTATATGACTTTCTTCTTTCAGACGAATCCATTCCCCCAGAACTGCTTCCAGTGTCCAACAGTGAGCGCAAGCTACATTAAAGTGATTATTAAGTTTTGAATATGGATATTTTTCTTACAAAAATGCATCGATTCGCTACAGAAGGCCCCC